AACCAGCCCATTCTCAAGCAGTGCTGTGTGTCTGTCTGCAAAAAAGCAGACGCTTCCTGCATATTTTCCTAGAAATGGAGCCATCTCTGGGACATGCTCCCAGGGCACCTCGGGGGGGAACACGGACTCTGGCAGCCATCAGGAGTGGATGTTGCTCAGCACGGGGCTGAGCTGGGTTTTGAGGTTGAGGCAGGAGGTCTGACTGCAATCACATCTCCCACCCATTTTTTGCAGGCTTGTGCATCTGTGGTATGCGCTGGAAGCAGTTAAAGAGATTTTGATAGCATTGCTGGGAGAAAATGAACCTGTTAATGCTGCTATTTGCTGCAAAAAGGATTCACGCCCAGAACACTTTCTCACAGCAATGATCATTTTTAGCTGTGAGAATGAATTAGCCCTTCCACTGAAAAGCTATTTGCATGGGAAAGAGGTCAGCAAGGAGCAGCAAAGCGATTATTTGGGGGTACGGCCCTGTCCCAGCCTGGAGGAGACGTGGGTTTAATTCTCATTTTTAACTCTGAATTTCCAGCCACCCTCTGCACCCTCGAAATCTGTTTATGCAAGGGCATCACAAGGGCTTTAAACATACCTGCAGATAACCTGCTGCTCCCGTCCTGCTAATAAAAGCTCTGGGTTTATTTTGCAGGACTGGTTCATTTAATCATCTTCAGATTGCCAAGTTTGCTTACAGCAATTTAATGACAAAAAGTGTGAGATCAGTGTGAGTAACACCAGACAGCTGCTCCCCAGCAGCCCCTTGGCTCATCCCAGCCAGCCCTGCACACAGCTCTGCTCTGCAGGGCGATCCACCTGGATCCAAGGAAGGGCCACACTCTGTTTGACTCCTCTGGTGGGAGTTAATTGCAGGCAACATTTCAACAGGAAAGAGGCCAAAATGCTAATTATCCCTCTGACCCTTGTTCTGAGCACACCACCTGCCTCAGCAGGGCGCTGGGAGAGGGGCTGGTTTGGTCTCCAGGGATGGGATGTGCCTGAAAAAGGGATTTATCACACTTTGGCCCCACCGGTGCTCACACAGATGCCGGTGCTTCCTCCACTTCTCCAGCCCTTCCATGCCCAGGCTGGGCTCCCATGCACGTGGCTGTTCATCACAGCTCTTCACCCAAGGCAAGGAGACCTTCATAAGGCAGGAGCTCCCAATGGGACAACAGTCCAGAACAGATATTGCCCAAATCCTGACCAAGTGCCGGGAGCAGCATCCAAGGCCAGCTCCTCCAGGCCGGGCATGATGAAATGCAGGTCTTCACCGACTCTTCATCTGGCTCTGGTACTCCCCCGTTGGGTGGTAAACAAACTTTTCTCAAGCACACCATTTATTTCCTTCTCCCGACTTCCTGCGTCACTAATTATCCGAAGGAGATTGATAAACCCGCCAGTTGCCGCGCTGGTTACAGGTCACTTAGCGTCGTAATAAGGAGTGCAGGAATCAATAGCCATAAATAGCAGCTGGGAATCAAATTCCCTGAACAGTACTTTAAGGGAGGAGAAGGTTTAATTATGCCATTGTCTGGCTTACTTTGCCCTGGAGGAGCAGGACGGAGCTGAGGGGAGGTGCTCCCAGAATTCAGCCAGTCCTTTATATCTGGGCCAAGGTTGGAGAAGCTCGTAGGTAAGAGGGGATGTTGAGGACTCTGAGAGTCTTCCACAGGCAGCACAGCTTCACACCACGCTTTGCTGCAGGCAGGGTTTTAACACTGCCTGTGCAATCCAGAGTGATTAAAAACCAGGCTGGTGGCAGCCAAGAAGGAACAGGTGGAAGGCACACAAAGCAGTAAATTGACATTTTTTTCTAAAGCAAACAAGGGTTGAGACTTGGGACTGACTCAGCCATGCACTGAGCTCTGGGATGGTCCCCCTGAGGATGGCCCACAGGTTTTAGATGCAGAAAGAGGGAGGCTGTTTGCTCTCACAGGGGTTTGGGATGATGGAGTTGGAGGCACACGCATGAGCAGCTCCCATCGCTCAGATGTGCAGTTCCAGCAGGAGTGGGAATGACTGCTGGAGAGGCTGAACAGGGGAAATGGCTATGTTAGTTTTTATTACTGCTAGTGATAAACTATAATTTGCATGTTTAGCAAATCTTGCATGCTTTTGCAAGCTTGCAAAGTGCAAGGCTTTGCTATATCCACGTAAGTGATGGCCTTTTGGGAAGAGGCACATTGGTCAAACACTTGTACACGGCTCCAAAGCTGGGGCAAGCATGTGAAAACTTCCACAGGGATCAGTCTTTCCTGGGTATAAAAATTTGTGTCTTCAACCATCTCCAAAGTGTTTTTTCTTCCTGGTGGAATAAGGTCTGGAGATGCCGTCTGGCTCCAGCTCACATGGGAATTCCTAAGGAGGGGTAGGGAATTCTCCCTGGTCCTCTAACCCAGCTGCCCCTCTCAGCTGCTGTCCTGTGTTTCCAGAGGAGCCAAGTACTGCAGGACTGTGATGTGCCAGGTCTCCCTCACCCTCTGTGCTCTGGGAAGGCTGGTGGATGCTCCAAGCAGAGCACAGCTGCCAGGCTGGAACAGGAAACCAGCCAGCCAGTTCCCCACCACACTCTCCTGACCATCAAGGCTCCAGCTGGAGCATGGAAGAGTTTCACCCCAGGAAAGGATATTGGAGAAAAGGCCAAGGAGGATTGGCAGCCTTCGCGTTTCTGAGATAGGCTTTGCCTCCAACAGCTGCTCCCACACCTGGACACAACCTGGGCTTGGACAGCCCTGTCTGGGTCCTCTGATCGACTCAGTCTCCCCTTGCTGCTGTCACCCCAGGTTCCCAAAGCCCTTTGTTACCCCTGGAATCACCCTGGCACTGCACCCATCTGTGTGTCTCCCCTGCAGCACCCGCTCTCCTCCCAGAACTCTCCTGCAGAGCCCCATCGTACTTCTCCAGCTATCAGGGTATAAATATGGTGTGAGATAAATATTGTCACGGCACATTACCCTGGTCCTTCCTCACCAACACACACTGCAGACAGAGTTATGCATCTATTTATGTGTGTATATATATCTAATTATACTATACAAACTGTATATCCAACTGTCTATTGTGTATATTTAATATAAATGCCAGCTAATTGCCCTCAGTAAATATATATGGGGATTAACTGTATTGACGTTAAGTTTACTGGTAATCTCCTTGAAAATAAACACACAAAATAAAACAAACACATAAAAATAAAAGTAGAGGACATCACAGTTTTTATGTGTGGCTCCTTCCACCGCCAGCCTTGGCGCTTCGCCAAGGGAGAGAGCGCCGAGGTCTCCGATACCTTTTCCAAAGGGCTCCCCCAGGGAGCTGTTGGCTCACGCTGGAGGTGTTTGCAGCCGCGGGAGCCCGCGGAGCCCCCGTTTGATTCCCGTGTGTGCGGGAGGAAGGGCTGGGTTGGCCCGTGGTGTGCTGGCCGACAGCTGGGCCGGCAGATTGGCGATGGGCTCTAGTGCCTTCCAGCCCGAGGTCGCCGCCTCGGATACGGCCCCGCTCGGTGCTGACGGGCAGTCATTAGGGCCGAGCAGATGTTTGATTGCATGTGTGAAATGGGCTGGGGGTGCTCGGGCAGGTGGCCGTGGTGCAGATCAGACCCTGTTAACCCCCTCAGCCAAGCGGGCACTGGCAGCCCCTGGCCCCGCACCGAGCCCGCAGCGAGGACAGCAGGGGGGTTTCTCCTGCCGTCAATAAAATCCTCTCCACAGGACAGGCCACTCATCTCCTGCATCTTTTTCCACCCCAGAAAGAGGTGACACTTGGCAGCTTTGTTTTTTGGTGGCGTATCGTGCGCTCAGGGTGCGCAGGGATCGGGCCGGGTCAGCACGAGGACACGCGCTCGGGGCAGTGCTGGCACAGACTGCTGTGGGGACAGGGATGGTTTTTTGACTCCATTGTCAGAGGTTTCAAAGAAGAGGGTAGGCAACTCCTGCTGGAATTGGCTCTTGCCAAAATGCTCACATACAGCACATTATATCACAGGCACAGTGTGCAGGAGGAGTTACACAGGGCCCAAAGCAGTGGACCATGTGGAGAGTTCCCCATCTAGTGCCTCACATCTTCCCCTGCTCCGTTTTGGCCTCAGCAGAACCCCCTGACAATGCTAAAGCTGCTGTTTAACGTTTTGCCACATTATCTGTCTGTGCAGCCCTCCCAGCTGCTATGCTGCTAATTATTTGGTTGTGATAATTTCTGTCCTGCTCCTTCATGCTGGCAGTGAATGTGCAGCCACTCGGGAACGAGGGACCTCATGGAGCTTTCAGCCTGGATCCAGAAGGGATCCAGTCTTTGACCCCTGCCATAAATCCTCAGTTCTTGTGGTTTGGGTTTTTTTACCACCAAGATGACTGTTCCTTCCTATCCACCTTCCTCAGATCATTAATTTATTTAATCCCACGCCTCACCGGTTTGCAGGGCTCTGTTTTCCCGGGAGGGCTTGGGAGGGAGATCCTGTTCCAAGGCCTGTCCAACGTGCTCTGCAGAGCTGCCCCACTGCAAGGGGAGAAGTCACCCAGCCAGTGCTCTCCATCCCTCCTGTCACCCTTTTTACCCTCTCCTCTGGCCTAGACACAAATCAAGGGAAGCTGGGCATCCTGCAGCCAGTTGTGTTTCCTTTCTTTCCTCCCTCTTCACCACTTCTCCCTGCCAGGTGCCTCCTTTCTCTCTGCAAAGCCCTCAGGGAAAGGCTGTCTTGACTATTTTGAGCCCATATGTTAAATTGATGTTCTTGCTGCTCTCCTGGATCCTGGGTTAATTGACAGGAGCAAAAGGCAGAGGGAAGAGGCGCTTCTCCAAACATGCACACATGGGTGCACACAGCAGCCTCGCCTGGCAGCAGGACAGACGGCTCCTGGATCTCTCCACTTGCTCTAAATTTCAGAAACACAGAATATTCTGAGCTGGAAGGGACCCACAAGGATCATCAAGTCCAACTCTGCAGTGAATGGCCCACACAGGGATCAAACTCAAGCACCACGCTCTAGCTGAGCTAAGCTCAGGGTCACTGGACTTGGAGATCTGTCTGTGGAAGTGAAGGAGGAGTGAAATGGCAAAAGTGATGACTCAGAGGTGTCACCTGGTCCTGGTGTCTGGAGGGGCCAGGGTTTGATGCTACAAGAACATCTCGGTCACCCGCTCAGTTCCCACAGCACCACCTCTCCTGGATGCCTGTGGTTATCCTGTGATGGACCCAAACTCATTCTTCTTGGAGAACTGCAGCAGCAGATTTGGAGCTGTTTTCCCCCATTTGACAACCTCTCCCCAAAGTGAGGCTGTCCTGGGCTGTTCCCAGCCCTGTGCCTTGCCCATGCAGCCTCTGGTTTCCAGCTATGGGAATGGGCTGATGCTCCCATCCTGTCCTTAATGCCCTCCTTATCCTTACTGCCCTCCTGTTGCAGCCTCTGTGAATCAGTCACCAACACGCATTCCCAGAAGAAAATCCATGTGCTCCATATGGCACTGCCTCCTTCTGGCTTCCAAAGTGAGCTGCAATAAAATGCATCCGTCGTTCACAGAAGCTTCCTCTCCCTTTGGACAAAAGCAACTTGTTTGGCAATGAGAAAAGCCCCACCACCCCTCGGATCTCTTAATTTGATGGGTCTGGGAGCCGGCAGATGAATATCTTAAATAACTAATGGTGACTCAGAGGAGCGTTAAACAAAGATAACATTGTCACTTCCTCTCTGCTCCTCTTTTGTTTCTTACCCTTCAGCTTTCCTGCCGGTTTATTATCTCTTCAGTTTTCCTTCTGATGATCTTGTTACTATGACAGGTTGTGTATTATCTTTGGCAGCTTCTTGCAAACGTGTGACCTGTTGCATCAATGCACGGCAGGAATAAACAAGAGGAATGCACACAGAGGAGTGCCAGCACCCTCGGGAGGGCTGGGAGTGCAAGAGGAGGGCTCTGTTTGCCAGCTCGGGGGGTGTGGTGGGTGAGGGGTGTGTGTGGTGAGTTCCAGGTGGGAGACACTCTTTCCACTAACCCCTTTCCAGTCTGGACATTCTGAAACTGAGCCTCCAGCAGTCCAGAATCTGGGCTGCCTGTTCCACAAATCCACTGTGCATTGCTAAACACTTCCTAAGGCTCTGTCCCACAGCAGCCCTGTTTTTCAGGGACCGGGGTGATCTGTGCTGCACCACATGAGATCTGCAGATAAAGGCAGCCTTGAGAAGCCCTGGGATGAGCTGATAATACCAGCCAACACCACTGGCACCACCAGAAGTGCTCACACTCAGAGGATCGCTTGCTCATTTATTTCAAGGACGTGCTGATTGCCAGGTTACCACTTCACGCTGTTATTTGGGTATATCCAGTGCCTGTTAGTCACTGCTGGAGATCTCCAACAACCACCCTCCAAGCACTGCACAAAGCCAGAACCCAGCAGGACCATCCTAGCCTCCTCCTCAATAAAATACATGTCACAATGGGGATCACCCGCTGCAGGAATGAACCACCTCCCTCAGATTCCAGGCTCGTGGTTCCCGAGGACCAGAACTATCCAGTTCTCCCCATGTGATTGGCAATTCTTGGTATTGCAGAAACATCTTCAAAGCTGAGAAATGTCTGGATAAAAGGCTCTGGTCTGGTCTCTCGTTTTTTGTATACGTCAGTAGAAGGCCTTGGGGAAGCAGGAAATCTCATTAGGAATTAACTCAGGATCAAATACGACCTCCCAAGTGATTCTGAAAGGCCAGGTCAGTTTAAGGGAAAACTGCTTGATGAACAGAGCCACCTCAGACTTCTTTGAAGAAAAGTACTGCATGAAATTTTGATATTACTAAGTATTTAATAGATCTAATTTACAAAGCACTGTTGCTCCCAATTCCCAGAGTGCTGAAAATCCTGCAACCTATTTCTTTACAAGTATGACTTCAATTCATTCATGGCTTTTAATGCAGCAAGCTGTTCAACAGCTGCAAAAAATGTTTTAGGACAGGGAGCCTGAGCCCTTGTGAAGTGCACCAGGCTCTGCTGTACCTTCAGCAAGCCAGGAGAGTTCTGTAGCTCTGTTATGACATGAGGTACCAGGGTTTTCACACTCAGCCTGGAAGCAGCATTAGCACAACCTGTGAAGTCGTCATAGGGATCTTTGCTCACCAGGACAAGCAACCTCCACTCAGGGGAACTTACAGATTAAGAGAGCTGCCAAAATGCCCCCAAATCCCACATTTACAGGAATCCCACAGCCATGTGAGCAGGTGTAGCATGTCACAAGCATTCAGGTGTCCCTTTGGGTGATGGCTGCCATGTGACAGAGGGAACTGTGACAGCGTTGGTGTGAGCAGGGCTGGATCCACCCTGTGACCTCAATGCAGGAGTCCTCAAGCATCCCATGAGACAAGTGCTCTCCAAGGGACTTGTGACTCCCATGCCTTAATCAGAGGACAGTGACACCTCCAGCCAGGTGGTGAGCAGTCCTGTGGTTTATAAGGTCCTCAGACCCCTCCCGTTCTGGTCGTGCACACCCTCTCCACAGAGGTAAAGGCACGCTGCACTCGCGCTGGTGCCACACAAGGTCACGTCTTGGTCCTTTGTGATGTGGAGCCCAGAATTCCGCTGGCGTGACAACGGAATGTTGCAAGAGCAACACACAACCTCTGCCAGAATCCCCCAAAGCCAGGGTGGATACCATCCAGCTCCTTGTGGAAGTGTTCTGAAGACATTAATTGTCTGTCAGGACCAAACAGAAAAGTATCCAGGATTTCGGTGAGTCCTGTAAGAACATCAGGGTTTTTTAATAAATATTTGAGTGGCTTTTCCACTTCTGCTGGGTCCAGGGAGGCCAATGCTGAGAGGAGAGAAGTCTCTGTAAAGCCTTAGGTCCTTGGGAGTGGGAGCAGTGAGAGAGCTGACTAATGCCAGTCAGCTGCCATCCACCCATCGCAGCTCCCCTGCGCACACATTCCTTGCTGAGAGAGTTTTCCAGGCTGCTGCTTGGTCAGAACCACTCTCACTGAAGCTTTTCTTACAGAATCTTGGATTTAGAAGACCTCAGGTTTGTTTCCATGCTGGTGAGCACTGGCAATAACTCCAGGCATGCACGGTGTTGTCCCTGCACACTCTGCTGCAAAGCTCAGCAGCAAAGGGAGGGCACACACCCCTCTCCTGCTCCAAACTGCTGCTCAACGGGTCAGCCAGAGCCTTCCATCACAGCACAAGCCTCATGTCCTGTTCTCCACCAGGAGCCAGATGTTTGCTAAGTGAACTCAACTGGAAATAACTTGCCTTTGACAAATCTCTTACCAGTGAAGGCTGCAAGCACCCACAAATAGTTTACACAAGTGCCTTGATCAATGACACACAGTTTCAGAAGCTTTCTCAAACCAGAGTCTCTGAACATTGTGTGACAGAGCCCATTTAAAGAAGGCAATAAGGATGTTTAACAAAAAGAGCATGACTCCCCCCAAAAAAACAACTAAAAAAACCCCAAACCAAAATCCAAAAAACCCAAAGAGTTTCCCTTTCATACCAAACGCTTATGAGGAATTAGAAAAAAATTATTTCTGTGCATGCTGGAACACAAATAAGAAGATAAAAGTGAAACCCCTGCTTTTGCCACTTGGATTTCATTTTGACCAAAGAATAACCTCTTTTTTCATGGTTAATACTGCTGGTCCCCCCTGTTCCTGTAAGCTGGGGAAAGGGAAAATATAGAAGAAATATGGGGGGGGGAAAATCACTGCTTGCTTTACTTTTGTGGCTGTACTGGACTTGCTTTTCTTTTGGAGGTTGAAGCAAACACCATATTAAGTGAAATAATGGGATAACAATGGTGAGAAAACAGTAAGAAAGTCAGGACACTTTCCCCAGGACTTGCTGCTTCTCTGCTTGCAAGGCTGAAGCTGTGGAGGCACATCCCAAGGCAAACTAATTTGTATTTCTTACCCCAAAAGGCAGTGCAGGAGCAGGGATGAAGTATCTCCATCCGTTAAGCTACTCCTAGGGTTTGCCACCTGAACAGGACACGCTGTTGATCAGCTCCAGGGGGGCGAAAAGGACTTCTGGGAGCAAGTTCTGATCCTCTCTAGGAGGCAAGGCCAAAACATTGCCAAACTAAGCTGGTTGGAATGGTCCCTGCCTCTGTGATTAAGGGGATTCATAAATATTCAATGTTTCTTGGCAGCTGGGAGTGCTTCACTTGTTCCAAGTATCTCAAGGGGGATGGGAAAGGCAGAATGAGCCTTAGTATTTCTGACACCCCGCAGAGACAATGAACCGGGGAAGGAGAGTGCTCATCTTGCAGCGAAACATTTCACGTGGGGTGATTTTAATAATTCAGCCCTCAACTGGTCTGTTTAAATGTTTGATGCCTGTGAGTTGAGCTTTAAGATCCAGCCTCCTCTGGATCTGAGGGGCTGGGCTCCAGGTGGGTGCCGTGTGCCTTCCCCAGTGGTGGATTGAACGTGTTCCCACGGCACGGCCCGAGTCTGAGAGCAGGGATCTCTTCCTCCACTGCGTGAAATTCCAGTGCTCTCACACCAGGGGGGAAAATATCAGCTACCCCATTCTGGTTTGTGTTTGGAAGAGAAGGAAAATGTCGTAATGAAGAATAAAGATAAAAATGCTTAATTCCATTCTGCTCATATTAGAGACAGTCGAGCACTTGGACCGCAGAGGAAGGTGCTTTTTCTGGATTTCTGGACAAGCCCCAGGATATTAAGACCTCCTGCTCCCACACAGTGGAGTTGCTATGCTTGTATCTCCTCTGACTGACCAGGTTTTGGCCATTCTCAGAGACAGGACAGTGTGCCAAACATATTCTGAGTTTGCCCAGGTTGGAAGATGCCAACATTCAAGGAACCACAGCATTTCTGCTCTCCCAGCTGCTGGCATGTTGCCACATTCAGAAACTCTCTGTCCCACAGCTAGAGTTTGCCATCAGCTTTGCTCAGGAGAGACCCTTCACTTCCATGTGAGATCCTGATCTTGCAAGCCCTTATCCTAAATTATCCATGAAATGTGTGAGCATGAGTTATGCATGAGATGAATTATCCATGAACAGGGTTGGTCGCCTTCTCTCTTTGTCAACTCTGTAGGTTCCAGCCAGGTATCAAAGCATGGAGTAGGCTGGGCTTTTCCCCCCCTCCAAGAATCTGAATTTTACACAGCAGTGTACAAAACCTGGGAAAGAGCTTAAATATTCAGTGGGTCGTGGTGGAAGAACACAGAAGGCTGTCTGAGAGTGCACAGGGTCAGCCTTTCCCCAAAGACACACTTTCAGATCCTAAATCCAGTCAGTGGTTATTCATTCCTGCAAAGAGCTCCAAGAATGATGGAGACAACTTGTCTGTCTCTGACAACACACTCCCACACCCAGGCTGGTGGTGACTGTAGTCATCTATGAACTGGAGCTTGGGATTCAAGGCCCTTCTCCGCAACAAACACAGCAAAGTCTTAATTTTGGTGGATATCTATTGATTTTGATGTGAAAGTCTACGATGGAGTTGTGTTACTGATCTTGAGGTTACTTGTCAAAGTTGGTCAGTTTAGAGAAGGGAGAGGGAAGAGAGGATTCTGGAAATCTGATATTTTGGGGGGAGGGATGTTCTGTGGGGGGTTTTGAGGACTCCCGACCAGCTCTATCACCTACCACCTTGCTAACTGTGTGATTTATCCCCACACAAGGCCAGCAACAATGTCGGCACCAGCTCTCCAATGTGAAGCCAAGAGCCCCTCCTCATCACCGGAATGCACACCCTACCACACCTCCAGGGACATCAGATACATCTTCCTCAAAAGCTGCAGGAACATCCCTGCATTCCGCACCCTGGACGGTGCAGGCGCCAGCAACGTCTACCAAGGACCCACGTCCTGCCACCCCACGTTACAGCACTACCTCAGCACGGATGAAGACTCCTATTCCTCTCTTCCTCAGCACCTCCCCACCTTTGTCACCTTCTCCATGCGCCTGGAGAAGGAAGCCACGGATTTGAGACGCTCCCCTGGCTCCAAGAAAAGGCTGCCGGTGTTCCGCCAGCTGTGCGGAGAGGCCGTGGAGGAGCTGGAGGAGCTGCCCGGTGCCAAAGCACCCAGGGAGAACATGAAAGGCTGGAGGCTCATACAGGCAGCCGGGTGCTCCACCTGCAGCAAGGCATGAACTGACTCTGAGATACTGTCTGGAAAAATACAACATTAATGGTGTCCTTACATTACCAGGGGGTCAGTGGAGACGTGGTGTGAGCTCGGCTTCACTGACAGCCAAGGGCTGGGAAAACGGGATGGAAAGGGACGAATTTGTCTACCTGGGATATTCCTTCCACTCTTCTGGGTGCCATGGGAGACTGCCAGCCAAATACACTGGTAGCTTGTACCAGGATGGCCATCCAACCCCATCTCTGTCACTGAGTCCCTCCAGCATGCTGGAAATAAAGGAAAACTTCCTTCTCCACATTCCAAAACCCTCCTGGGCTGACACCCACAGCCCATTCACCAAGCATCCCCTCCAGCTGCTGAGCTGGAGGAAAATGTGTTGACTAAAGCACTGAGTACAGGCTGTGACAGAGCAAGTACCAAACGCTCTGTGGGAAAACAAAAATATGAAAGCAAAGGAAAGATCTCACGTGAGAGTGCCTGGGAGGGAATTTGGGAGATTTTCAAGTCTAGGGATTGAAAAAATAGTGACAATTAGAAGAAATGCCCCCCACAAAAAAAAAAAAAAAAAAAAAAAAAAAGGAAAAAAAAAGGT